TTATGTGATCACTTAGAAAAGAGGATAAATTTCATATTGGACAAAAAGCGCCCATAACTTGATTGGTTCTTAATAAGCCTAATTCACCTCCTTCTTAGGTTGTCGTGGATCCTTACAGGGGTACGCCTTAGGGGGAGGTAGGGTCGTCACAAAAAGAATACATTGATTTGGTAAAGGAAGAAGAAAATTTTGATTTGATAAGTGAAGAAAAAGAAATTGTTGTTGAAAATTTTGTTGGCTAGAATTCTATTACTCAACAAGTTTGATAAGTTATAAACAAGACATTATTTAGAATATTTTCCTAAAACATTCAGAAGAGTCTGTAAAGTTTTACTGTGGAGTGGTTTTTTTCCATTGCTTGATATTTCAATAATAGTGTGAATTATTCATTTTCTTCTCTCTTGCATAAATATTTTGAGTAATTGTTTCAGTCCTTTAATTTTGTAATCTTACATGCATCAATTATTATTAGAACCCTAAATTTGGTTTCTACATGCGTTATCTAGAGCAATTCTAGTGGTAATAGCCTCTTATATTGCTGCATCGTTTGCATTTGGACACGATTTGGACCAGGTTGTGATGATGTTTCCATTTTTGGCTTCAATTCCCATCCCAGCTTTGGGATTGATCTAGCTTAAGGCTGTATCAGTGTACATTGTGGTAAAATGTTGCATTAGTAACCCAGGTAGCATGCCTTGCCTATCTTCTCCCAGTTTTTTATCTTCAGCAGCAATATTAGTATTCTTGTCAGCTTCTTTGAATACAATCTAGTCTTCCACAGCTTTCTTGGAAATAAATTTAATGGCTGTCCTTATGCTCATGATTGAAAGACCAATCATTTCTTGCTTTCCATAACTGCCAGAGCAAGTTAGCAGTGAGTTCAATGTGTTCTTTCCCTTCAACTCTTGACCTTGCTTCTTGCATTGATTCCCACCAATTCCAGAAGTTCCATTTATGTCCATTGATGCCATCCCAGGCAAACTCTACAGCTTTGCGAAGGAGTAAAGCATGTTCTAAAGTTTCAGGGGCTTCCCCGCAACGTTTGCATAAAGGGTCGCCTTTACCTGTACTCATGAAAATCTCCTTATTAGTGGGTCGAACACAGTGAAGGCACGTCCAGTGAAAATGCTTAACTTTGTGTTTAATATTCAATCCCCACAACTGGCTCCAAACTTTTGATTTCCCCTTATTTCTGCTGAAGTTCACTTGTGCTTTAATGGCCTCGGCTTTCTCCTTTTGTCTCTCCTTGGCTTTCACATAGCCTGACTTAGTTGAGTAGGATCCATTTGCTATGTGCTGCCATCTGCACCTATCTTTTCCCCGAAGACGTTCAAAGGAATTTGTAGGTTAGCTTCAGCCTCTTCCTCTGCGAATAAGGAGCAGATCATGTTCGTGCTCCACTTAGCCACTAATCAGGTTGCTAAGCATTACTACCTGGCATCCCTCTGGTCTTTCTGAGTTGATTTTCTCATTGTTAAAGCCTTCCACCCATTTGTCCTTCCATATGTTGATAGTTTTTCCAGTTTCCACCTATTTGCAAATATCACTTTCCAGCATATCCAAAGAGCTACGTAAGCTTTGCCATACCCAAGAAGCACTTGCTTTAACTTGGGAACGAAAAATGGACTCTTTAGGGTAATATTTGCCTTTCATCACTTTGCTAACTAAAAAATTTAGTGAGGTGATGATCTCCAAACTTGTTTAGCTAGCAAGGCAACATTAAAAAAGCGAATATTCCTAAAGCCAAGCCTACCTTCACCTTTAATTTGAGATACGTCATACCACTTTTTCCAATGCATTTTCCTTTCCCCTTGGTTATCTCCCCACCAAAGTCTGCCATAGTACCATTGAGGTTCTTATAGAGAATATCAGATAATTTGAAAACGAACATAGCATGAGAAGGGAGAGCAAGAGCTAGCATAAGAAAGGAGAGCGAGAGCAACAGATTTAAGGAGGACTTCCTTACCAGCATTCTAAGCAGTTTACCATTCTAATTCTGGACCCAAGCACTCATGTTTTCCTTTAAAAATTTGAACACACTGTTTTTGGATCCACAAATTTCCATTGGCAAGCCGAGATATTCTCCTTGTGTTACACCCACCACAAGAAATTTAAACTTTTCACGACTTGTCAAATAGTTGCAAATCACAAAAAGCTTATTTCTTATGATATGAAATTGATAATAGTCACAAAAAATATGGTTTTTAAGTCACAAATAATAGAAATAAAATTCACTACAAATCACAATTGATCTTATAACTTGTAAATGAGAATCACTATCTATATAGTCACAATTGTTTTGACTTGTCACGAAAAGTCTAAATTTCTTGTAGTGACATTGAACTCCTACCTGATGCTTCAACTCCTTAATATTCCTGGGGCTGGTATTTTTGCTGAAAAAGACCGCAGATTTGCCAACACTGATCTACTGGCTTGAAGCATGTTCATACACTGAAAAGTTTTACCAATCCGTCTAGCTTCTTCAGAGTAAGCTTTACAAAATATCAAAGAGTCATCAGTAAAAAAATAAATGGGAAACGGGGGCCCTTGTCTAGCTATTTTAATTGGTTAATGACACACCTATTTCACTTCTTTTGTTTATGCCCCCAGCAGTTGGCATTTGGTCTTCTTCGGCCTTAGTGGGGGAAGCTTTCTTTTTTCCAACACACTTGAAAAATCCGTGTTTATATCGATAGCCATAAGAGGAGGAGATCTAGGTGTAAAATTTGCATCTTTTAGAGCTAATTATGACCCACATGATTGATTCTAAAGTGATTGATATCGTGATTAATTGATTGACATTTTACTAATAATTAATTAGTATCTCCCATTCGATAATGATTGCTTGATATATTCTGCTAATTAATGTCTCATTCAATCAGTTAATCAATCAAATCAATAAATTAGTCGGAGATATTATTCTCAATTATGAATTATGGCAAGATTTCCTTGATGGAAGGAAACCCCGGGAATTTGGGTATTTGTTAGTAAGGGTCTCCAGTCTAACCTATAAATATCCTGTGTTATTCCATAAACACTACACTCTCTGGTTAGGCATAGATTAGAACTCCTTACTCTAATTTGTTCTTCTATATATTTTGTTTTGTTAGAATAAATAAGAAGAAGTCAAAGAGACATGGAGGGACTAACATGTGTTTGACAACAAATGGTTAGAAGTAAGTTTATATAGATTTTAGCTGCATAGTACATTCAAATGTACATAATTAGTTTAAGACTGGGTTGTTGTCCTTGTTAGCCTTTTCGATCTTAGCGAGTGACCCTGAATTGTTTTCCCCCTTTTGTTTTCTTAGACTTAGCTGCCGGCACTCGATGTTCACTCTCCACAGCTGCAGTCAATGTCGGCAATTTGGGAAGAATGGGAGGAGTTGTGGTCTCACCGCTAGCACTTTCCATATCCATGGCAATTTCCGTTGGATCAATATTTTCATCCCTTCCGGAGCACTGCTGGTAATGGCTCCGGGTTGCATCCCCTTCCCTGGATTAACGAAGTATTCTCCCTCAAATAAGAGATTGTGAGCTATGGGATTCATCATTTCTGTTTGATTCCTGTCTTTTTTTATCGGTGAACCTCCTTTATTTTGGGCTTTTATCCAAGCTCAAAACTGAGGCTTGGAGTTCTCTTTAGGTAATCCAGATTTAGAACAGCATGATTTATCGTTATATCATATGATTCCGCAGCCATAGCAAAAATCAGCACATTTTTCGTAACGGAACTCAACACATCTGCTCTGTCTATTCAGTTTCACTACCGTGCCTCTGATAAGGGGAAGAGATGTATCCACCACAGCTTTAAGTTTCAAGTGCCTGCATTCTTTGCTACCTCCAAATGGATGATTATATCTTCCAGCTCTTCAAAGACCCCACCAATTCTCCACTCAATTTCTTTTGTGATCCAGTGAACCGACAAGTTCCAAACCTGTCTGAGCTTTAGCAAACACAGTCGCTTCTTTGTCAATTCCTTCTACGGTTCTATCCACAACTGGATGTTAAGCAATTGGCTGTCCACTACATATGGCCTCCAATTCAAGATCTTTTCCATATCCTGCTCATCGGTGAAGGAGAAACAGATTTCCTCCAATTCCACTACCACCACATTTTTGGGGTAGCCCCAGAATTGAATCTGTTCAATTGGCCCAGATATGTATAATAGAAGGCTCATAACTCTTGTTTCTGTTTCGGCCTTCAGGTGACAGAATCTGACTTCAATTGGGCTTGGGTTTACACCTACCAGAATTTGATAGAGAGATTTTGCGTCGGCTAAATCTAATAGTAATCTGGTTGTGGCGAAGAATAAGAATGCAATTATGACTTTTCCCTCCAAAAAGGATACGAGTCATTTGATAAGTCATAAGTTTTGGTTTTCAAAATTATACTCTTGTAGCTCGTAACTCTTGTGGGCTATTGGCCTTTCGCCAGGTTCTGTTCATGATATTTAATAGAAGTTAAATTCAAGGGGTATCTGTTTTTTTTTTTTTTGTCAAACAAGGGGTATCTGTTATTTGAGGAAACCTCACGATGTATTTAGCAGTTTGATTGAGCCTTAAGAGAAGTCAATGTAAGTAGCCCTTACTTTAGCTATCAAAATCAAAGTTAGAGGCCCCAGTGGAATCTTAGTCAATAAAACCACATTTATCCATTGAAATATTTACGCCATTGGGCTCCAGCCCACTGACCATTATCTTAAGTGCAATATTGTGATGGATTATAGATTTCAATGATTATCTTTTTGGAGGATATTTTTTGTCAAATATCAATAATCTACGTCTTTACCTACTCTTGCTCCTAAATAATGAGGAAGAGGACAATTTCAATGGGATCACTAAGAATAGAAAGAGACTAAACTATCTTTGGATTAGACGAATGCCCTTGACATATGCTGAATTTAAAAAAATTATATAAAGTGATAATTGATAGGAGATAAAATTCAAAACTCTGACCTTTGATCCCACAAAACCTCAAGTACTTTTCGTGGATTAACAAGTAGCGTACATATACAGGTATCATCTATCCTTGCATCTTTGTCATGATAAGATAGCCATCTGGTCATTTCTTTCCTTCCAGCTTGCGTTTTTCTCAACCCAGTCGGAAGCCATTGAAAGCATGGCAAGTGAACAATTGAGTGGCAGATGGTCTCTTAATGGAATGACTGCCCTTGTTACTGGTGGCACCAGAGGCATTGGGTAAGCAAATTTCTTCAAATATAGTTCCTGGTTTTTATATTTATATCAAAAAATTAGTAAATTCATTTCAACATTAGTTTTTTCATGCACTCCTCAAAAGGGTATGTTAACTGTTAAGAACCAATTGGACAACTTTTAATGAGCAGAAAAACCAACTCAATCACGGTCATATATCGTTTCGTATACATAAATCCCTGCTTCCTCCATTTGTTCTAGTATATATGTGCGATTATGGCCCTAGTAGCTTTAATGCAACATTCAAAATGCGTGTCCCCATTTTAACTATTTGACCCAAAATTTCAGGCATTCCATAGTGGAAGAGTTAGCAGGATTTGGAGCCATAGTATACACATGTTCAAGAAACCAAAAGGAACTTAATGAAAGGCTGCAAGAATGGGGAGCAAAGGGTTACAAAGTCTATGGTTCAACTTGCGATTTGGCTTCAAGACCAGAAAGAGAGGAACTAATGAAGAATGTCTCTTCCACCTTCGACGGCAAGCTGAACATACTGGTAAGTACAAATTCTGATCCATAAAAGGGGAAAAATAGTTGGTCCATCTATTTCTTGATTTGTTAAAGAATCATAAACATCATTTCTGTTTAGAGTTTTAGTATTTGCATCCAAAGTAATTCTTAGGGGAAATATTTGGGATATCTTGGTTTGAATTAATTTCCCAAATGCGGACTGCAGTGCAGATATTTTGTAGGACGTGCCAGCTGAAAGTGAATGGTATGCTTAAAAAGGAGTAATTTAAGAAGCCTCCCATCAGATTTTTAACAATTTGACTGCCATTCCCAAAAGTTTTGAAAATATGACTAACTTCCCTTAAAACCTATATGCTTGTAACAATTTACCCAATTCAAAAGAAAAAAAGCAAGAATAAAAATATGATTTTAGATGTGAGAATCTCATTTGATTCCAAAAGCGCCCCTCACCTGTAATAATAGTTAATTCAATTATTTGATCTAATTTATTATTTCACTCATGGGGCCATTGTTATATTTGATTAAAAAGAAATTTCTATCATCTACAACTGAAAAGAAATGACTTTCGAAATTTAACAAAAGAAAATTTCTTTTTCATATATTAAGATTCTCGTTATCACCATCATAATAAGAAGAACGTCCAATTTCTTTAGACCGTCAAGTACATAAGAAAAGCTAGCCTAGTATTAGGTCCTTTTCTAATGCCAAATTAAATTTTAACATAATCAAATTATGATTAATTTAGTTTGTAAACATCTCAATTATATTTTATGTTTTAATCCTTTTATTTATCAGGTACATCATATATAATTCCTTTATCTATCAATTTATTTAATAAAAAATGCACCTACTGTTGTTTTCATTTTTATATACCAATTTTTTTAATTGTTTCTCTCTATAAATATGCATAAAATATTTCCAACTTCCAAATTGCTCATAAAGAAGGTAAGTGATAATTTCAAAACCTGACAAGAGGATAATGAAATTGTTAGAAACATTAGGGGAGGAATCTTAAATTATCCCTACTTAGAAACTCGAAAAACATGTTTGACTTGATTTCTAGTTTATGGAAGAAGTGGGTAAGAATATATTATTTGAAAGGTGTATCTTCACCGGTTATCATTTCAAATTCCACGACGACCCTGTGTTTGCTTGTTGAAAATGACTTATAAGGACGAAAAGTTCGATTCTAAGAAAAAGTAACGCTGTGGGCTTTAAAACAAATTTTGACTTTTCAATTTGTTTTTTTTTTCAATTTGTGCCCACCCTTTATTTGGACTAGTGGATGGGGCATAAACTGTGTGTATATTTTAGAAAAAAAATCAAATAATAAAAATGATATAGAATAAAAAATTAGTTAGAGAGATTTTTGGGAGGTGATGCAATGTTCATTAATGAATTAGTTAATCAGTTAATCAACGAGTGCAATGATAGCTATATGGTAATAGTTATGTAGGAGTGGGAGGTTTTCTAAAGAAAATGTAGATAGATAATGGTAAATATTCAAAGGAAATTATTAGCATAATAAATAAGGACACTTTTTGTTAACACCAAATCCTTACTTATGCTTAATTGTATAATAATAAGATAATAATATAGGTCAAAATTTCAGGTTGTCAGGATGGTAGTACCAAAGCAAAAAAAAGGATAAATTACACTAAGCTCCCCTCTAATGTTTGAAAATGTCAATGACCTCCCTTCTTGATTTCATAGTAATAGGAATATCCATTCTATTTGATAGATAACATCAAAAACTTTCCTTTGTCCTAATTAAGAAAGGAAAATTAACTAGTTTTGTTATAGATTCACTTCCGGATTCCCAAAGACCAGGGCTAGTTTTCCTTTTCTTCAAAATTTATGGCTGGAAAAGATCAATAGCACCTTCTTTTTTATAAGTGGGAGGAATTAAATTCAAAACCTGCTATTTACAATCCTTCTCTTCTTACCACCCAACTAATGACACTTTTTGTTAACACCAAATCCTGTTAATACCGAATCCCTTCTCACATTTTATTAGATCGTAAGATAATAATATGGGTCAAAATTTCAGGTTGTCTGGATTATAGTACCAAACCAAAAGAAAAAAAAAGGGTAAATTACACTAACCTCCCCTCTAGTGTTTGAAAACATCACTGACCTCCGTTCTTGATTTAGGAATATCCAATCTTATTTGATAGATAACATCAAAAACTTTCCTTAGTATTAATTAAGAAGGGAAAATTAACTAGTTTTGTTATAGATTCAATTCAGGATCCCCAAAGTACTCTTGCAATGACATAAGTGATTATTTCCAAAAAGATTGAGAAAAGAGACTAGGGCTAGTTTTTCTTTTCTTCAAAAATTATGGTTGGAAAAGATTAATAGCACCTTCTTTATAATAAGTGGGAGGAATTAAATTTAAAACCTCCTACTTATAATCTCTCTCTCCTTACCATCCAATCAAATCCTTCTCCCCCCTTCTCATCAATAGCATTTAATATGTATAACGTTATAAATTGGCCTCCGCTTTGTCTTTCATTTTTAGATTAAGTGCCTGTATTTTAAAAAGTAAATTTAATATTTTTTTTAAGTTTTAACTTTGCCATTAGAGTAAAGGAAAGAACTTGGGCAAATTCAGTGTACGTCCCTACTTATTGACTAAGTGGTGCACAAGTTGCCACATCATCCTACTGAAATATATTAATCCAAAATTCTCTATCACTCAAAAAAGCCTTACCATGGTTTGTGTGACAGCCCCACCTCCCCTAGAGCGTACCCAAAGGTTTGACGGACTGCCTGCTTAGCTTTCGCCAGGACTCAGTGACGTATCAGGAAATTTTACAAATAAAAGTGATATTAATTACAACTTTTTACATATACACTCATGGATCTCCAGTGTCCATACAATCTATATTACAGCCAAGAAGTCAACTTGAAAAAAAAAATCAAACCAAACAAGCTGGCTAGACATCTATGAAGTACTCGCTTGACCGACTAACAGACTTAGAAGAAATCGAGGGCTTCCTCAATTCAATCTCTCATGTTCTCATCCCTGTAAGGAAAACAAATTGCATGGAATGAGGTAAAAGCCCAGTGAGGTTCCAAATGACCAAGCAGGTAAAACATTAGACTAGATACCATATACCGGATATCAAGAAAACAAGTCACACTCAAATAGATCATGATCCAGTATCTAGTTAAGCAAGTAGCCAAACAGATCATGCAAAAGTGTACAGTAAAGAGCATATTCATGGTAAAGGATATAGGTTGCTCTTAGGAGCAAGTTCCACTGCAGTTTGATCAAGGTCCATTGACTCTCCGTCAATCACGAAAGTATAATGTTCGCAGATCACCACTTTACACCAAATTCCGTCTACCAAACATATCCCTTACCGGGCTCGAACGTCAAAGAAGTACCTAAGGTTCGTCGATCTTCTCGACCAAACCCTTGTCGGCTCGATTCGACCAACTAGCCCTGGGTTGGACTTATAGTCCCAGATATACAAAAATTCAGAATCTGGCTTATAGCCCCAAGTATTCAATAATCAGAAATGGAGTCGTTGGTTGTTATCCAACGCTCATACAGAAAAAGATTGAAGACGTTAGTTGTCACTTAACGCTCCGTATTCAGTAATCCAGAATAAACAGGTTAGGAACTTGTCCTTTATCCAAGATTGCCTAACTTACTCGACCACTCTAAGCCTAGTCTAAAGCAAAAGGCCCAACGAGGACGCAGTTCAGTCGTTGCCGACCTACATTCACACATATGCATGAGTAACCCTAGTTTTCACTTACCCGGCGTCTTGGATAGGGTCCAAGGCCCAGTTCAACGACTACAAGAGAGATGTAGCTGGTCTACAATTCAACCGCTACAAGAGGGTAGTAGCTGGTCTACTATTCAACCGCTACAAGAGAAATGCAACTGGTCTACAACTCAACCGCTGCAAGAGGAATGCAGCCGGTCGACAACCATGCACATAAACATGCAAGTCCACACACAGGATCGATTGATTCAAGTTCATGGAGGTCGAGTGCGAATAAGGACACAGTCGCCTAGCCATAATCAAGTCACAAGTAATGTTCAGCAATTCACGTTCTCAAGCGTCCCAAGTGTTTTAAATCAATATACAGGTCACATACCAATCAAGTCACTGGTTCATGCATAAATATGATATCAAGTGTTTAGTCAAGTCAGGTCATTTGAGTGCACTTAAGAACACACTCGCCTAAACAAGCTCAAATCACAAATAAGCTTAGCATATCATGTTTCAAGTATTTCAAATCCAAACAATTGAAAACTGGATAGGTACGAAAACCGGATCAAACAAGAAAACTGGAGAACTGCAAAAATAAAAAATTTTCTCAGCAAATCCGACCAAATATTGGCCGGATTCAAGGCCGGATTGATAGGGAAGGCAGAAAATTTTTGAGTACTTATTGCCCCGAGCCGGGTATCTGGCCCTATTTCAGTTGTACAAATTGGCCAGCATATGTTTTAACACAATATCGAATGTTTAGTCGAGTTAGGTCAAGTGCGATAAAAGTACACACTTGCCTATGAGACAATAAATCAAGTAACTAGCAACTTCTAGCAACAAGGAGCATGTAATACACAGTTGGAACACTCACCAATCAATTGCAACCCTTCACTTTAACCCTGGTTTGTCCCCTTAAACTCTCTCGAGTCCTATGGTCACATACTATAGTAAAAGACTAGCAATACAAAGCCAAGATATATGAAGAAATTGAGGTTCCAAAACTTTATTTAGAACATGCATCAATTTACAAGTTTTATACCCGTATAACCTATCAAAAAAAAAATATTTGCTTGTTCCAAATTGAGGAGTAAACCTCATGTACTTTACTAATCAACGTTACAAAAGGCATTTAAAGCACAAAAGTATCACTTATAGTCAAATGTTTGGAGAAATTAGAAAAGACATTCAAAATACAAAGTTGGAAATTGTCCGACCTAAAATGATTTGAAGAAACTCATTTCCTTTCATTTAACCCTCAATTCCACTCATAAAACCAAGCTCCAAATGG